TCCCGACCAACACATTCATTTACGAAAGAACAAGCGAAAGCACATCAGCTCATCCTACTGATCCACACGACCGTCGCCATTGTTTCCGCTTTCGTCCACAACGACAAGAGTGCCGCGCGCTGAACGCGGCTTTCAACTTTCGCATCCCTGTTTTTCTAACAGCCGGTGCCGTTCTCACGCATAACGCACTCCGCACCTCACCAACTTGTCATTAGCTATTCACAAAAAAAATACAGGAAAACTTCCGGCAAGAGACGGGACCGGGACCATATAGAACACGGAGAAAGATGCATTCTACCGATGTGTTCATAAGCCATGCTGGCCCGGACAAGCTACTCATCGCAGATCTCCTTTCCGAGAAATTGCAAGCTCATGGTTTAAATTGCTTCCTCGACAAAATCTCGATGGAGCCCGGGGACTACGCACGGGATGAAATGACGAAGGCTATGGAATCTGCGAAGGTCGGTGTTTTCATTCTTTCTCCCGAGTTTGCGGCTCGAAAGTGGACGATGAGGGAACTGCGTTGCTTCCTACGCCGACGGATTGAGGCGATAAGGAGTGGGATGCGACCACCGACATTGATTCCGGTGTTTTACAGACTAAGTATTCGTGAATGCAGAGAGTTGGATCCAAATCGCTACTGGGATGATGAAAGAAAGAATATTTTTGAAGTTGAGAAGTTTTTTAGCGACGAACGACAGCGCGAAGCGAGCACGGATACGGTGAAGAGGGAGCTACAAGAGCTGGCAGATTTCACTGGGATTGAAAATGAAGTAGGGGCAACGAACCTGCCGGGAGATCGATTCGGCCATGATAAAAGGGCACATCTTGTGGAGCAAGTATTTCTGTGGGTGAAAAAGAAATGTGAGGAGGATTCAAGTGATGAAGTGAGAGAAGTTTTGAATGCAAGTGGCCAAGTTGGAACCCAAGCTGCCGTCACGTCCACCGCACGATGTGCGGTTGATAAGTTCACGCCCTGTATACACGCAGAGCACAATCCCGACGAAATATATTTGCAACTGAATTCTCGGGGGATCGATGGATCACCGAATACGTGTGAGGCGCGGCTAAAGGAGGCCGTGCTAAGTACCGATAGGAATTCACATATAGGAGCGACGGCAACGGGGAAGGGAGGAGTCGGAAAGACATGCGCTCTTCGAGCGATTGCGCACGACGATGACATCAAGGCTCAGTTTTCAGGCGGAGTGTACTTCATGTCTTTGGGGAAAGACGCCAACGTAGGGCGGCTGATTGAGCAACTGTGTATAGCCGTTGAGGCGTCTGGTGGTAAGCAGGTGGCTGCAGAAATGCGAGAGCAAAGCGAGTTGAGAAGGGTACTGACCAAGATGCGAGCATGGTTCAACACACGTGTATGCCTGTTCATTATTGATGATGTGTGGGCCGTGAATGGTATAGATGCGTGTATTCTTCAGAAGTTGTCCACTCTCGCTGCCGCCACAGGAGACATCCGGGAGAGGAGCAGACTTCTGTACTCCACGAGGGATTCAGAGCTGAAACAGGTCGGTAAGCGAGTGACTTTCGAGCCGAGGGAAAGGGAAGGGAATGAATCAGTCCGCATGCTCATGCTTGCGAGCGGGGCGAAGCCAGAGGAAGCGAATAATCCGAGATGCAAAGAGGCTGTGAGCAAAATATTGAAATTGTGTGCTGGTTTGCCGCTGGCTCTGAACGTAGCCGGGACGGGTGTCAGGTACATGAGAGGTAGATGGAAGGGAGAAGTGTCACAAGCGTGGGAGGCATACCTTTCGAAGATGAAGAGCCGCAACACGATTCGTAGTGAGAGGCCAGGGGATGGGTATTTGTTGTCGTTAGACGCGACTTTACATGCGTCACTAGAGATTGTGGAGTCCGGCATGGGGAGCGATGCGGAGAGGTTAGGTCAGTTTTCGTTTCGAAAGATACATCGGAGTCTGTGTGTTATGAAGAAGCAAGACCGGATGCCTTTGTCGTTGGTAAGAGATTTGTGGGAGATGGACTACGAATCGGCTGAAAAGTACGCGATTCAGATGGAAAGGGTTGGTTTAGTAGACCTTCATTACGACAAGGATTGTGGGTGGGTACGGATGCATGATCTGACGCACGATTTTGCGGTGCAGGAGGCGCAGAAGGAAGAAAGTGTAACGGTTTGGTATAAGAAGTTGGCAGATGTATGCCGGCAGGGAAGAGGACTGCTTGGTATGACTGAGAGCGAGGGTAGAGAGGGCAAGGATGCCAGAGAGAAGTATGTTTTCGAGAATACATATCGCGTTCTGAAACAGGGGGGGTGTGTGGAGGAGCTGAAGAATCTATTCTTGAGTGCGCGATGGGTGAAGGCAGTGATACAGAGAGGAAGTGTGTGGCAATACGAGGAAGCTGTAAAGGATCTCAATAGCTTTTTGAGGAACACGGGAGGAAGCGAGAGCCTTTTAAGGGATACGGGAGAAGAAGGTTCGGTGTATGCGATGGAATTGATGATGAGAGCTGCACGACTGAGTGTACCTTTTTGTGGTGAAAGCAGTGCAGGGATTTACTTTCAACTGTACGGAAGAATCAAGCACAGGGCAGCAGAATTATGTAGCGTGCAAAGGATACTCGAGGAAATCGAGGAACACACGCCACGACCATGGCTGCAGCCTGTGAGTGAATGTGTAGGGCGAGCGGGAGGAAGTTTGGTGGAGCAGATTGTGCTTCCGAATATCGTTTACGAAGTCGGCATGGACTCAACGGGTGGCGTGTATGGACACTATTTGAACCCGCGCCGTACCAGGATCACAGTTTTCGCACAGTCTCCGGACAAGGAAACGAAGATGACTGAATTAGGCAACGATTTTGAAACGGGGAGCCGAAAATTAACGTGCGGTTGTGTCAGTATGAGCAAACGCTATGCAGTTATCGGATATGGTGATGGGACACTACAGTTCTGGAGTGTATCGGAAAAGAAAGTGTTGTGGAGTGTCTGCGGTCATGAATCGGCGGTGTGTAGCGTTGCGATGAGTGGTGATGGAAAACGTGCAGTATCTGGATCCTGGGACAGGAGCGTACGAGTTTGGGACGTGGACACAGGACTGCAAATCGGCGACGCATTAACTGGACACACAAGTGTGGTAGCGAGCGTTGCGATGAGTGGTGATGGAAAACGTGCAGTATCTGGATCCTGGGACGAGAGCGTACGAGTTTGGGACTTAGACACAGGACTGCAAATCGGCGACGCATTAACTGGACACACGGATGGGGTGGAGAGCGTTGCGATGAGTGGTGATGGAAAACGTGCAGTATCTGGATCCTGGGACGAGAGCGTACGAGTTTGGGACGTAGACACAGGACTGCAAATCGGCGACGCATTAACTGGACACACGAGTGTGGTGAAGAGCGTTGCGATGAGTGATGGAAAACGCGCAGTATCTGGATCCTGGGACAGAAGCGTACGCGTTTGGGACGTGGACACAGGACTGCAAATCGGCGACGCATTAACTGGACACACGGGTGGGGTGTATAGCGTTGCGATGAGTGGTGATGGAAAACGTGCAGTATCTGGATCCTTGGACAAGAGCGTACGAGTTTGGGACGTGGATACAGGACTGCAAATCGGCGACGCATTAACTGGACACACGGATGGGGTGGAGAGCGTTGGGATGAGTGGTGATGGAAAACGCGCAGTATCTGGATCCCGGGACAGGAGCGTACGAGTTTGGGACGTTGACACAGGACTGCAAATCGGCGACGCATTAACTGGACACGCGGGTTGCGTGACGAGCGTTGCGATGAGTGGTGATGGAAAACGTGCAGTATCTAGGTTGTCTGACGGGGGCGTACGCGTTTGGGACGTGGAGAAAGGGAGTACAGTTCATCTCGGAAAGTTGAAGGACTGGCGAGATATCGTGGAGAGATTTCTGAATGCAGAGGACTTGGGTGCCGTCTCTCGCACTGGACATAGGCGCAAAAGGCGCAAAGTTTTTGCGAGCAGGAGGAAAATTGTGCATGAGCGAGAGGATGGCTCTGAGGCTGTTTTGGCGCAGCTGGAGAGTACGGTAACCTGGTGGGAGGTAGACGATAATCATGGGGTCTTTGTTGCAGCGGCCGGCAAGCAGGTGGTTATTATGAAGCTAGTGGTCTAGGTGTGTATAGGTCTAGGTGTGTATACTCTACTTCCCTTGTCCTCTCGGCCAGACACAGACGCTTCTATTGTACGGTACGTGGTGGCACCTGTGGTGGGGATAGCCTGTTTGGTTTTTTTACGTGTAAAGTCTTGAGAATTCTGGTTTATTGACCGCGTCGTCTGGAATCTTCTGCGGCGTGCATAAGGGAGAAATACGTGAGCTGTCTTCAGGAAACGTCAGTGGGGGCGAAACGCAGCATGATGCGCGCTACTGTCTCATGGCGATGCTATGGCCCCTGTCCCATGAGCATGAGAAATGCATGGGACATATGCACGGGTTGACGGTGAATACGTAGGATACACGATGGAAATCGATTCATCCCGTTTCGTGTGGTGAAGGCCGACAGCTTTTGAAGTTTCTGTGGAAGCGAGCGATTTCCTGCGCAATGGCGGTGGCAACAGGGAGCTCAGGCACGTCCTCAGGAGGTACGGTACCCTTCTCACTCTCTGCCTTCCTTGAGAGAGTGGCACCTTGAGAGAGTGGCACCCTGTTTTGTAATGCCGTGCTGTTTGCATGCATCCTTACACACGAACAATGAGGTGACCAAAACCTGTGGACGTTTCAGAAATTGGTCCATTTTTGTGCGTACCGTATGTCGCTTCTTTTGGCTCGTGACATCATCAGACGAGGTCCGTCGTGTGTGGCGCTCTGGTTCCATTCACGGATGGGACGTTTTGCCAGGACGTACGGCCCTCCCTCCAGTTCCCGGCAGAAAAGTCACATCAGTCGCTGCCCTATTTGCCTGCACTAGGGTCTAAGTAGCTACGGTGCGTCACTCTCTCCTGTCTCAGCCGGCTTCAACGATAGCAACAAGGGCAAAAAAAGAGCGTCAGGCGCTGTCGTTAGTGTGTACACGTCAATAGTTTGTTTTATGCTCCCAAACCAGGGGGGGAGAGAAATGCACAACTGTTAGCGAAAACACTGGCACTACTATATACACACAGGAGGTTTTTGTCAAGAAGCGACAAAAAAACCACCCTCGAGAGATGCTATCACCGATTCATACCTGGGACGACCTGGGGCGGCTCCATATCATCTTCGTCCTTGATCCGTCCCTTTACCCGGGGCGTGCATCCGCAAGCTTCTTGCGGCAGTAGTAACGGATAAGTTTTCCAAACCTGCGCTCTCTGCGCTTTTGCCTAAACCGAACCAAGGCGGCTTCCCTGGTCTTCTTCTTAAACTCGCGTATGACTTCCTGCTTCTCGTGCTCGATACGGTCCTTCCGCTCTGCCTGGGTCTCGGGCTTGACGGGGCCCTTGGAGCGGTGTTGCATCTGTGCGGCGTGCGCGGACGGCATGAGCATGCCCTGCGGGTAGGCCGGGTGCTGAGCACCGGCAAACAAAACCATGCCTTGTGGGGCATACATAGGGCTCGGGGCGGGCGGGATCATCACTTGCGGGTGCTGACGGATCATGAACATGCCGTGCAGGTGTTGGTGGGGGTGCGATGTGAGGAAGAAGGGCTGAGCCGGGTGGTGGACGGGAGAACATGCTGTCGGGCATGTCCTCCGTCTCCCCTGACGGCCGCTACCCGTCGCCCTTCACTTTGCCGGACGCGCGTTCCGGCGCCCAGCTCGGCGCCCTTACGGGCGGCAGGGTCGGCATCGCATTTAATGGCGTCGAGATGGCCCTGCTTGGGCTCACCATCGCCATTCGTGCAAACTTTGCACCCAAGAAAGGCGCCGAGGAGGTGCCGCTATACACCCTGATCACCCTCGGGGTGACGCCACCGCGGACGAAAGACCTTGTCCAATTTTCCAACCACCAACTCTTAGGCCATTGGGCAAGATTGGCATACCCCACCGCGCCTCTACGATTCCCAAAGTTCGGAAATTGCGCAAGATTTTCGCCCAAACCAAAAATGTTCCTAAAAAGCAATCTACAAATTTAACAGATTTTTATTGTGCTGACAGTTGTACCGAAAGGGACGTTTCCTTTGGTGGAACTGAGTTGACAGGCTGATGTTGACATCAGGCTGACATCAACCTGTCAACATCAGCCCGTACGCACAGTGTGCCCAGACTGCCCAGACACTTGGCTGTGGAGGCCAGAGCACAGTCGCAGATTGTGCTTTTCTCTCTTGAGCGCGACATTGTTCCCGCCCGCGACAGATTGGGAATGCAACGGTGGGGTCCAGTCCCATGACGACCCCTTGCCCAAATCGTCGCTTGCCCAAGCGATAGTCGAGCCAATTAAAATGTGCCAGCTGTCAATGTTTTGGAGTTTTGGGCGAGCCGCGGTGGGGTCACCCTCGTGGTGCCGCTTGCTACGGCGTTTGTGATACCGGGGGGTCCCACGACATAGTGCCATACCAGAACAGACCTCGACAAGTGGCACTATTGCGTGGGTGGCACTATTGAAGCCGCATTCTTCCTACAAATTGGGAATGTTAGAAAGACATATCATTAATTGCTTTGAAACAAATATACGTGTAGACGTGTAACCGAGCTCTAGCTCTAGCTATAGCACTATATCGGGGGAGGCACTACTCCAAGTAGCACTATTGCGCGACCCCCCCCTGTACAGCAGTCTACGACAGAATCAACTTGCGCACGTACAGTACACTGTACTACTAAGTACTACTAAGTACTGTAATGTTGTGCCCCGTCCCTTGGGTACGGTGAAACCAAGTTTTATTGTTTTATTTGGTTGAAGAGGCTGTCCGTCCGAGAGTCAATGCCGCCCTTTCTGGAGGCAGAGGGCGTCCGACACGTGTACGCATGCGCAACAGCTACCAAGTACTGTAAAGCCTTTAGAGGAAATCTGCAGCAAAATTGGAAATTGGAAAGCACTTTTGCCACGCTTACAGCATCCCCACCGGTTGGAGAATAAATGAATATCATCTTTATCACAGGGTATCATAGGGGCATATCCTAACGCATACGGTAGAATGAGCAAAGAGCTAAATATTGTCAACACTTGTCATTCAATTACTGGTGCGCATGCCCAGGTGCATTTGTTCACATTTGGCATTTTAGCTCCGACATCAACACACTCCACCGGTGTTGCCAGAGCTAAATGCAGAAACGCACTCGAATGGAGCAGTCTTCATTGGAGGAATAGTTAAATCCTCTGGATTTCGGCTGGTCTGTACCGGCCATTATTGTGATAGGAACGAGGCTCGAGATGGAATAGGCAATGATTGGGTGGGTTGGTGGGGGCATTTTCTGCTCCTGGGAGAGCGGTGTGCGAAAGGGAGCGCATAAACATGGTTTGTAATAACTTCGGGGGCCGAGGAGTCCGGATAACCAAAGTATGTTGTTGGTTGTGCAGATGAAAGATCGATGAGGGTTTATTGAAGAGAAGCGAACTCGTCCCGCTTAAGTCAAACCGGAATCCGGAATGAGCTGGCTGTTCTAATTACAGGCCAGCTCTTGATTATTCCAAATTACACCGTAGAAACTACATCTACGGAAAACGGAGTTCGGATTTTGAATAGAACCAGACCAGCGGTCACACTCCCTTCTTTCAAAACGCAAGAATCTTCCGAGCTTTTTCGACCAGCTCGCGAGGACTGTTCTTGCGTTTCATCAGACGTTCAAGCATACAAAGAACATCCTCGTAAACCTTAGCGATGGGCTCGAGCGTATCATCCGAATTCGGTAAGCCCTTCCAGCGGACTACAACGTAGACGCCATCAAGGTGTTCTTCCAGTCGCAAGAGGCGCTGTACTATCATTCTGGTTTGGGATTGTAGAACATGGTACATAACTGCGTCCGTGTCCAGCGTCGGATCATGATAGAACTTAAGCCTGCTGGCATGTAGCTCTTCCGATTCTCCGGTTCGTAGATCTTCTACCAAGTAGACGTAGTCATTTATTGCGCGTAGCACGCGTCGCGGTCCGTGCCAACGGAGAGCAAGTTTTTCACCAGCGAAGAAGTCTTCTCTGGCAACAAGCACGAAGTGGCCATCCTCAAAATTCGGCCGCGTTCCACTTGAGGCTTTTTTTCGTTCGAGTTTCCTGTTCTTGTCCACAGTCTCCCGTACGATCGGATGTAACTCAGCGACGCGCACCTTGAGGGTGCTGATACTGAGAAGCGTTTCTAGCTTAGCAGCCTCGACCGTAATCGGTTGGATCGTAGAACTTCGTAGGAAAGTCGCAATGGGCGCAGTCGGTTCGCGACCCATGAATGCCGTAATCGGAGAAATGTTTCCACGCTGAGGAGACAGGGCGTTGTTAAGCGCGCTCTGCACGAGCGGCAAGATATCCGGCCATTCGGTAAAGGACATTTGAAGCTCCGATAATACGGCTCGCATTGCGCGAAGTAGTTGGCGTCGCAACCGCTCGACGGCACCGTTAATCCACGTACTGTACGGTAGCGTAAAATGATGCGGTACCTTGAGACTTTTCCCGATCAGTCGAACCGTTTCATTTCAGAAATGCATTGGACCATCGGACATAAATCCCTTTGGCACACCCACCGCAGCGCACCAGTCGATGATGGCAATTGCTGCATTTTCAGTGGAAGTATCGGAAAAAGGAAAGAATCATTTGTAATCCGAATGGTCGTCACGCAACATGAGGACATCTTTTCCTCCATCCGAAGTCGGTCCAAGTTCGATGTAATCGAACTGTAAAAGGTCATTAGGACCAGTTCCGTGACAGCCGAACCAAACGGGCGGGGAACCTTTCCCCCTCCAATTGTCGAAAGACAATGGATGCAGGCCTGAACGAAGGTCCGGATGTCGGTCGTCATTGTTGACCACAAGTAGTGCTTCCGTAGCACTCGTTCGGTGGAATGCCGGCCTCGGTGTCCCGCGGGGCCGGTGTGTGCGATAATGAACATGCAAAGTTGTAAATCCGAAGCTCGGTCAGGAATCCAAACCGAACCATTGGGGTTTTGCCAAAGTCCATCAGACTTTCCGAGATTCGGCGGCATTTCCGATTGTGCGGAAGATTGCGAGTCCGAAATTTCGGTTGGAGACGGCCATTTAAAATCCGTCGCGGATGAAGATGAAAGTTTCGGAATTCGCATAAGTCGCCGTAATGTCGTAGGAGCAGACCCCACACATTATCCGTTCCCTTAATGTGGAAACAGGTGTAGTTATAAATCGACAATCGGACAGCCCACCGAAGGACTTTGCGAAGCGAGGTCTGGGTCATGTCAGACATTACCGAAAGCGGATCGAATAGGAAGATAAGATTGTAATGATCCGTAAATATGTCGAATCCTTCCGGTGTAGCGGCAATCCAGTGCATGCGATCCAATGTAGCAAGTATTGCGTAGGCCTCCTTCTCGAGAATAGACCAAACGAATTGTACGGAATTAAATCGCCCAGAGAGGAAGGCGAGGGGCTCGTGCCGCTGCTTCTCGTGGGCGTTCTTGAGGTCCTCATAGGGAACCTGCGTGACGATGCCAGACCAAACGGAGTCCGAAGCATCGGTATAAACGCACAGGCGTTTCCCATCATCGCGATGGGACAACGTGGCCTGTTCTGCAAGGGCGTGCTTGCAATTTCCGAAAGCTCGGGTTTCGGAATCTCCCCAGCCCAAAGTGGAGAGTTTGTACCGAGAAATTTCCGTTAACGGAAAGCTTGGTCCGTTTTCCGGCATGCTTGTACACTTTCTCCATAAAGTCGTGGAGCGGTGCGACAAGATCCGAAAACTTCGGTATTCCACTTTTTACCCACTAGAGGGCGCAGACAAATTGCTGTAAGTGTGCACTGGTAGTCGGAAGTTCCATATTCAACAGACCATCCAGGCGTCTCGGGTCGTACCTTATACCGTTTTCGGAAATCATTCGGCCGCACCATCGGATATTTTTGGCGAACAGCACGCACTTCGCGGGATGCAGTTTGAGATTGTGCTGACCGCAAAAGCGGAACATGCCTTGCACAGAGCTCAAAAGTCCGGAAACGGTTTTGTCGTGGAGGAGAATATCATCCAACCACGACAGCAGGGTGGTCCGTAAATCGGCAGGTAGAACCTCGGCCAATGCCGATTGTAGATGGGTAACGGCGTTCGTTGTGCAGTGCAAAACCCGCGTCGGAGAAAATATCCCGTCCGGGGTTATGAAAGATTGAAGCATCCGAGAATCGGGTTCGAGCTCCAATTGCCAGTAACCGTGCGATAGGTCAAACGTGGCGAAATACCGGGAACCGGTTAGCTTGCCCAGCTCGTGCTCGATGTTCGGCATTGGAAACTGATGTTTCACCGTAAATCGGTTAACGTGACGTAAGTCTACCGTGAAGCGGAATTTCGCAGGACCGGGTTTCGGAACCAGGAGCGGTGCGCATGCCCACGGAGACGTTGGGTTTGCCTAAGCCATGCCATGCTGCACCAGCTTATCCGTCATCTCGGCAAGGAATTCTTGTTGTTCCTAACTGTAATTCCGAAGTCGGACTTTAATCGGCCGAGCATCGGGAGTGAGGTCAATTCGCAACGGGCGAAGTTTTGCCCGGGGACCGGAAGAGAATGACGTCCGAAATATGTCGCGGTGTTCGTCCACAATTTGGTTCAATTTCTTGGCGTCCTCTTCAGGTAATCCGTTTTCTCGGGCAGATTTCTTCAATATTCCGATATCGGTTAGTACCTCCTCGTGCTGCTCGGCATCAATGAGATCGAGCAGCGACGGGTCCGGGAACGGCTCTTCTTCCGTCCGAGCCGTGTAGTAATTGACACGAGGTCTATCCTTCCTACATTCAGTTTTCTTCTTTGCCGAAATATCGGAGGTAATGCCGTTGAGGCGAGCGAACATTATGTGGCTCACAACGCCGCCTCTTCCGAGCGTGGTCGGAGTTCCCACGTGGGAGCAGTCGGACCCATCGAGGGCCGACCGATTATTCTCCAGGAGGGTATGCGTGTCCACCTGGACATGCCGAAGAACGGGCAGTCCTATTATTAGGTCTTCACACGCCAGCTCGTCGTCCGCAACGAGGAACGAGACGTTGGCGAGTGCCAGTTGGCCCGATGCCAACTGTAATACCGTTCCCGGAATTGTCCACGTGCGGGAAAAAGTGAACGACTGTGCGTCGTCACCTGACTTCAGGGCAACCTGAGTGTGGACCGGTTCGATCGCTCGAATTTTTCCGATGCCGCGAACGGCAGCTCGCTCAGCGAAAGTGGGAGAGACGAGACTGTCGTCACTCCCGTCGTCGCATCTTCCCGTAGCGGAAATAAATGCACGGCCATCTGAAACCAGAACGGGGCAAGATGGCGTTTCCGAATCTTCGGTTTTCTTCTGTCCCAATGGAGGGTTTGTCATGCGACCAGCAGTAGGTCGTCCTTTTGAAGTGTCCGTAGATTCGGATTTTTTGTCACTCGTGTGATTGCGGGTGGAACGGGATGGACCATCCCGTGCCTTGGAAGCCGCAATGTCGGAAAGATACGTGGACTTCTGTTCGTCCGTTGACTTCCGGCAATCCCGGATCCAGTGTCGGTCTTCTTTAGCCTTACATGGAGGATGCGGGCAAGGTGGCGCTTGCCTAGAAGATTGTCCTCCCTTCTTGGGCTTATTTCCGGAATCGGCTCTTGGTGACATGTCGTTGTTACCACCGCGTTTCGGGTTTTGACTTCGAGATTCCTCTCGCTTTTTACCTGGGCCGGTGTCCAGGATTTGGAATGCTTCCGACAATCGGATGCAGTGTTGCATAAACTTTGGGAAATCTTTCCTAAATTCGTGACAGGCGAATTCCAAATCCGATTCCAGTCGGTTATGTAGCTGTAGCGGTTTTATCGCTGACAGCACGTGATAAACCGCAACCTTCTGGTTAGCCTTCAGTAGCCAGGCCAAACCGTGACGTCGGAGTAGTTTGTGGTAGGACAAGAACAAGGATGCCACCCTGGTGTAGTACAACGGCGCGAAGGCAACTGCGCCACCGCTGCCGCCCCGGGATACAGTACGATGGCTGTAAGCGCGAGAAGAACTGTAAGGAGTTATATTTACAGCACACGGCCGGTGCGGAGTACAGTAGTACCCCGCTGGTTACACGTGTAGGATCCGAACGGTAAGTAATTAGTAATTAGTAGTTAATGGCACAAATTAGCCAATTTAGTACAGTAGCTGGTATACAGTAAGTAACAGCTACTGTAGCGGGACAGGTGTCCTGGCGTCCCACTTACGGGTTAAGACCGGGGGCACCTGCGCCGTTCCAGTAAACGGGGGCAGACTCGCCTCCCTTCCCTTTACGGCTTTTTGCTAACTCCGTCCGGTTTTACCTCTAAGTCTCAGGCTTCTAACCCGTGACCGGCCGTCCGGATCTAACACCACCGACCGGCTGCGCGTCACCGGCCACGTGAGCCTTCCCTCTTTTCGAGTCCTTCCGTACGGTTTGCGCTCGCGTGGGTTACCCAGCGGCGCGTGCTCCCTTACCTCTAACCCCCCTCGTTCCGAGTGGTCGGGACGAAGGTTGTTATACCACACCTGGAACTGGCGTTCTTATCGGACATGTCCATCCGTAATTCGGGTCTGACCAGGGAATCGAAGGTGTCAAGATTGACAGCTTCCTTAGATTCCTCAGCCTTCTTCTCGAAATACGAGCGTAGTTCAGAATCTGGTAATGTTTCATAATCGGTATGTCCTTCGATGACACCAAGAGCCAACGCGGACTCCACGAATTCTGGATCGACACAGAATTTCAGATTAACCGGACAGATCGGTTCCGTCGACGTGCTTCCGGCAACGGTGAGTTGTTGCGATCTTGAGTCGAGCTCGCGCACGTACTGATCGTACAAGCGGAGAAGTATCCGGACTGACTCGGAATCGGTCTGAAGCAGTCTGAGATGCTCTACCGAGGATGCCAAAAAATGACGAAACGGGCGGCCCTTCGGGCCGTTGGTCAGACATCCGAAAATCGGTAGGGTTGATCGAGGGCCTCCTTGGCGGTAATAGAAGTAATGGTAGTGATCATTGTAATAACTTCGGGGACCGAGGAGTCCGGATAACCAAAGTATGTTGTTGGTTGTGCAGATGAAAGATCGATGAGGGTTTATTGAAGAGAAGCGAACTCGTCCCGCTTAAGTCAAACCGGAATCCGGAATGAGCTGGCTGTTCTAATTACAGGCCAGCTCTTGATTATTCTAAATTACACCGTAGAAACTACATCTACAGAAAACCGAGTTCGGAATTAGAATAGAACCAGACCAGCGGTCACAGGGTGGTGGCTGGGCAAGATCGCATGTACCTTGCGATCGATGCAGAAGGAGAGGCGCAGGTTGGAGAGGGAAGCGCGGCAATACGTGAGCGAAACATGTAGGAGAACGGGAAGTACTATACGGGCAGATTCCCGCGACCAGAAACCAATAACTGCTTCGCACTTGTGTCATGGACTTTTGGCTCTGGGCTATTTTCAAGGTGTAAAACCGACCGATTTGCACCCTGGAAATACCCCCGGGCTAAATAATTTTAGCTTTTGACTCCCCGGTGGAGCGGATTCAGTGAATGAGGGTGTAAAAGCTAAAATTTTACCTTTTAACTCTTTGCTCATGCCGGTGGGGATGCTCTTACTACAGTATATATTTGCCTACCAATGTCACGCCTTCACATGCATGGAGAGAATCGCTCCGCACGAGCAGGGACTCCCGCTTTCTTCGTCAGGATCCAGTTCCTCTCCGAGCCTCCCTTCGTCGACACTGCCCCGCCAGACCCCACGTCCCCTCACAGCAACCGCTCTCCACCGCTCTCCTTACGAATGCACCTACAAAAACCGTCACCATCTCCAGTCCCTCAACTTCCACAGCAGATTCTTGGTCAAGAGCCGTCGAATGTTCAGCTCAGCAGATCCGAACGGGACCCAACTTGCCGCCCGTACGTCCCCCATTCCACACCAAACATTCCTCAAACAGCGTCTGGGGTGAGGCAGGGCGCTTTCCCGCTTTCCCGCAGCCACCAACAACCTAACGCGGGCTCCCAGCCGTCGTCAACGGTTGCCCCTGGTGCCCAGGAAAGAGTCGCAATCGAAAGTGGAGTCACCAGGGCTCCGCAAGCCTGACGCCGCCTTTGATCGCACCCGGCGACCACAGGATTCCGTGCCAAGACAGGAAGGCGCTTTTTCAAATGTACACAAGTCTTTGCAGACGGGCGTTCGAAGCATGGGGGCCATGCAAAGGATGAGAATTGCACAATTTGCTTGACCGCTAAAGTGAACATGCCGGGTGGGAGCCTAACGTCACCTTTGTGAACGTCGAGCTATCAGGAAAGGCGATACAATCTGGTCCATATTCGGGAGCAGCACGTTCCTTCGCGCGAGTCAGCCACGAAGCTTCCCCACATGCGTCCGCTCCAACAGTCGCCGCCGTTTCCACTCCACCCACCTTCCCCATCCGGCCCCCTGCACCTCCTGCACCTCCACCTGCCCCCTCTCCCGCCCCTTCGGCCCCCTTTCCCCTTTCTCCTTTCCCCGCGATGGAGTTCCTCACCACGCCCGACTTCGGCCACGGCGTGCACTGGGCCTCCGCGCCCGCGCCGCCGAGCGCGTCGCCCGCCGCGCCGCCGGCCGCCTCGCCGCTGCCCGCGCACACGCCGCGCCCGCCGCCGTCGACCGCGTCCACGCCGCACCACCCGACGCCGGCCCCCTTCTACGCCCCCGTCGACCGCGCCGGCATCAAGAACTCATTCCAGTCGCTCTTCTCGCCCGCCGTCGCCGCCACCCCGGCCCTCTTCCCGCGCTCCGCACAGCCCCCGGGCCTCACCCCTTTCATCAATGGCCTCCCCACCCCTTCGCTCGTCCGGCCCCCGTCCACCATGCTCTCCGCCTTCCCCCCGCTCCCCACCTCCCACCTGGACCCCGCCCCCACCCCCTCCCCCGCCGCCCCGCCCCTCTCGAGCCCCTACCTCCAGGCCGCCGCTAAGGAGGCCGTCCGGCGCGAGTTTCTCAACATGCCCACACACGTCACCCCCGCCGCTGACCCCGCCGACCACCACCGCCCCCACCAAGACAAGCACTTGCCTCCCGCCTCCCTCGCCTCCCCCGCCACATCCTCCTCCCCGCTTCCGCACTCCGCACACCACCAACAACGACACGTCTCGCCAAACAGCGGCGACGCAAAGGTCCCCTCCAACTCCTCCCCGGTCTCTCCACAATCTCCACTCACCGTCTCCTCCTCCGACCCCAAGGACCAAGGAACTGTCCCGCCGCACCCCGCCGCCGCCGCTTCCGCCGCCGCCGCCTCTGCTGCTGCTCCCGTCCAGCACCCGGTCCAGCACCCCTTCTTCCTCCCGTCGCACCCCCACCAGCACCCGCACGGCATGTTCATGATCGGTCAGCACCCGCAGATGATGATGCCCTCCGCCCCCGGGCCCATGTATGCCCCGCAAGGCATGGTCATGTTTGCCGGTCCCCAGCACCCGGGCTTCCCTCAAGGCATGGTCATGCCGCCCGCCCATGCCGCGCACATGCAACACCGCCCCCAGGGCGCCGTCAAGCCCGAGAATTAGGCAGAGCGAAAGGATCGTATCGAGCACGAGAAGCAGGAGCTCATTCGCGAGTTTAAGAAGAAGACCAGGGAGGCTGCGTTGGTCAGGTTTAGGCAAAAGCGCAGAGAGCGCAGGTTTGGAAAACTTATTCGCTACGACTGCCGCAAGAAGCTCGCCGATGCACGGCCCCGCGTGAAGGGACGCTTTGTTAGGATCAAGGACGATGAGGATATGGAGCAGCCCCAGGTCGTCCCGGGTTTGAATAGGTGATACCTGCCCCTTGCGACGTTTCGTCTAATTTTTTCTCTGTCGCAACCTCGTGTGTGTATATAGTAGTGTCAGGTTTTTTCGCTAACAGTTCTGAATCTCTTCCCCCCGCGGTTGGGGGAACATAAAAACAAACTATTGACGTATACATAATTCAACAACGACAGTGCCTGTTGCCTTTTTTTGCCCTTGTTGCTCTTGTTGAAGCCGGCGGCCGAGACAGGAGAGAGCGACGCGCCGTAGCCTAACATGTTACATACTTGGCACCCATCCTCTACTTTCTTCTGTCATTGAGTTGCACTTGCTTGTTTTTTTTTTTTTTTGATACAGAACCGTGCATCTCGCACCATCTCTTCAACGAACGCCTCTCATTCCCTTACCATACCATGATACGTATGCGCCCGTACTCTCTCTCTCTCTATATCTCAAGATCTGGCCAGAGAAGGGCACCGTGCCTCCTGAGGGCCAGTCCTAACAGGCGCTTTTCTTTTCTTTTTTTTTCCTTCCAACCAATTGCGGTCACGCTATTGGCCGGATCATTTCATTAAATTAATCGCACGCCACAACGAATGCTACACAGAACCACTGTAATGCTTGGTAATTCTGCGAACTGGTCGAAATCCATTGGCTAAAGGAAGTACCAATCCACACCCAGTCCATATGTACAAACCAGACACAGTACATTCTCCCGCCATTTTATAGAGTGAGCGCTGTAGTCCCCCAAATGTTAACTCGCTTACAGAAGCGTGTGCACAGGAACGGTTCCTCGCGCCCCTCACGGCCTCAAATCGTAGCCGTCGGGCGCCAATCAGAGGCCGCCCAGTGCCCACTACGGTGACATGCAGTGACGCGCAGTGACGCGATTTTGAACCCGACATTTTGCCGCGTCTACATTCCCCAGCTCCTCCCCGCCCCGCCCCGCACAGCTCGCCGCCATGCCCTCACCCGCCTTCCTCCTCGCCTTTCTCCGCGCCCTTTATATGCTAGAAGTTCTCCCTCTCTGTCCGAAGAAACCCACACAAGTCAAGCGCCATGACAAGGGCGCGTAATACGGCTTCCAAAGCTCCCTGCCCCCCGCTTGCACTCCGGCGATCTCCTCGACATTTTAAGCAAACACGACTTGCAACACACCGAGCTGCCGAACAGATTGCTTGCGACACTGCACGTGTACTCGATGCCAGCTTCGCGCAGGAACACAATAAATCTCCTTCCATACCCCCTCCCCAGAACCCAGGGGCAAGCTCTGTTTTTGATTCCCCTTGTCCTCTATCTGCCTTCCGATCCCGTGTTAACTCCTCGCAGGCACCAGCAAGCAATTCTAATAGTTCTCTGAGCTTCAACGCCAATATCATGGCATCCATTTCTCAGAAATCAACGTGTAAGCTCTTTGTGAACCCCCCGTCATTTCCGCCAAGTATCGGCGCGTCTGTTCCGGACAATATTACTGCTCGCAATGACCGGGTGCTCGACCCACATTCTCAGGGGAAGAGTCGAGCTGCTCCAGAAACACCCGAGGTCACGGAAAGACGTCTCATGTTCTCATACTTTAAATCCCTGAAGAAGAAGGAGCATCAAAAAATGGCGAGGCATTGGAACAGGAAAGCATACGGAAAACTCAACGAGATCATGTTGAGAAACTATCGCTATGTGGTCTTTCTTCATATTGAAGGTACTCCGTTTAGAGAGACGATCTCATCCAATCCATTTTGCCCCTCTTTTGATGAGTTTATGATCAAAATAGACAACCCCGTCCTTTCCGAGCGCGCGCGTGTGTACCCTGCTCCCTCGGATGCCGAGGTTGACACTATGTTGGATGCTGCTGGCGATCTAAGAGAGGGTGATACGGCTGAATTAGGCACAAGTTCGGCGGGAAGTGAACCTGCTTTTACACTCTCTGAATTTTCTAGACTTATCATAATGCTCCGCCATAATGAACATTGTCGCCAATCTATCAATTTGTTACAGCAAGAGCTGACAAGAGCGCAGCTTGACGCAGGAAGATCTCGGGACAGTTTCTGGACAAGAATCGCTGATCGCTTTAATGACCCTTCCGAGCATATTGAGTAATGTGGTATAACTACCTTCGTCCCGACCACTCGGAAACGAGGGGGGTTAGAGGTAAGGGAGCGCGCGCCGCTGGGTAACCCACGCGAGCGCAAACTGTACGGAAGGACTCGAAAAGAGGGAAGGCTCACGTGGCCGGTGACGCGCAGCCGGTCGGTGGTGTTAGATCCGGACGGCCGGTCACGGGTTAAAAGCCTGAGACTTAGAGGTAAAACCGGACGGAGTTAGCAAAAAGCCGTCAAGGGAAGGGAGGCGAGTCTGCCCCCGTTTACTGGAACGGGGCAGGTGCCCCCGGTCTTAACCCGTAAGTGGGACGCCAGGACACCTGTCCCGCTACAGTAGCCGTTACATACTGTATACCAGCTACTGTACTAAATTGGCTAATTTGTGCCATTAACCACTAATTGCTAATTACTTACCGGATGGGTCGCACACGTGTGCCCGTGGCCACGACCGGCGCCAACGGTTGTGTCACGTGTACGCCGTGGAGGTACTACTGTGCTCGCAGAGGGCGCGTGCACGATTACTACAGTAGTAACCGCCCGTCTCGGCGGTTCTCATCTCCCACCGGGGGTCGCGGTGTGGAGTTGTACCACAAGTACTCTTTTGATGGATGGGTCGAGGACGCCGAACCGAGTCTTCCACCTCTTTGCGCTAGAGCGGCATCTGTACTTAAGGACCAGTATGCGCGGACACGCTCTGGGTTCACTGTCTACAAAGATAGGTGGGAGCGTTCGGGACAAAACGATCCGGAAAATTTTAGGAGTTTCTTGCCGACATTGGATAATGGAAGACATAGCCTTACGGCTTTGGGAAAGCGGATGCTTGTTTTTTTTAAAGTTTCCGGGCTGGGGACGCCAAATTGTGACGATGAATTCGTTCGGAATTCATCTCGAGTTATGATGGATGGTGGTTTCGATGAGGGTGTACCATCGTTGCACATGCGAGTCGTTAATGATGGGGTCCGGGCTGCAGAGTCGGAGTCTACAACGAGGCGCCGCCGTAGGAGCTTAAGTGGAAACACTGGCAAAGCTGCCGGAAACTTGATCACAGAGGTGACAAGCGCGATAAGGGAGTCCGTCTCACGGGAAGAGGAGATAAGCCGGCATTGGAATTCGGGTGAACAAAAGAGCGTGGTGTCGCGGGAAGTGCAGTGGTCGAAGGACAAGCAGGACCTCGTAAACGTGCTAGAGTCTTCAGTTTTGAAACTGGAGGCTGCGAAATCCAGACATGCTCCGACGGAATACATCGAACTACTTCAGAGGCACTACAGCGACTCTCTGAAAGCGTTCGCGCGCGTTAATGATAGATACGAGAAATGGGTGCAGCGAGAAGTCAACGACGATCAGGACGAGGGATAATTATGCAGTGGGTAGTCATGTATGATGGTGCGCTACAATAAAAGTCGGGGTGTGTTGAGCCTGCTTGTAAAACGGATGCCCAATCTTGTCCGTCACGTTCTTGACAGAATTTTTGTGAGGCACCTCGTGGCTCGGCCCGTCCAATTCCACGCCCGCGAAAATCCTGAACTTGCGTAGAGCCTGGCATGTCGGCTGCCGTAATGAGTTGGTACGCAGCAGCGCTTTCAACAACGCGTGCCCGTCCGTCGACAGTACCATCTTCGGGATCTCTGCCTTACCCTGATTCGCAAGAATCTCTTGTGGGATCCTCTCCTCCATGACAAATAAAATCCCCCCGTGAGTGCTTGATAGATAAACACTCTAAGCGTCCGCATATCAAACGCGATTCCTTATTTCTTCTACGCATTTCTGGCACTGCGTACGACAGCGACCCGCAGAATCGTGCTCCTCAAATAGTCGTTGACGCGGGCCAGCGTTGCCAAGTCTGTTTCGAGACATTCAATTCGTATTCCCGTATTTGAATGGATGTTACTGTACAGCATCCTTGATATGCCCGGTTGCGGCTGCAATGTCCTGGCCCATTGCGCCGCATGTACCTTCGAGGCAGGAAGACTCTGAACAGTTCCGCTGCCGACAGTCGAGCGTCCAACTGGACCGACTGCTTCATAATTCAACACAATTCTCTTAGGCGTGGCGTGTGGGAAGGAAGGCGTCGACGCAGCCAGAGAACCGGGAAGTATTAGCAGTGGGTTAGCTACGAATGACGCCAGGAGTTTGCATGCCTTGCCTGAGAAACTTCAGCTACGTGGTTGACCGGCGCAGGATATGAGGATGGTACGGGCAGTGGTCGCTCGAAGGAATGTGCTGCTCCCGAATATGGACCAGGGTTTATCGCCGTTCCAGAAAGCTCGACGTTCAAGGGTGGCGTTGGGTTCTCACGAAATGACGGGAATCGACAGTCGTACATATCCAACGATAATTTTTCAGAGGACAGCAATCGGCGGATTAAGGTCGGTCGCCGATACATTGTTGGTTCTTCCGAAGGTAAAATATCATCAAATGAAGTAGATGTGTTCGGTGCCGCACCTTCAGATACTCCATGACAAAATTAATGCGTCGCGAACGCATCACATCAATGGTCTTGACAGCATTGGGATGGGTAGTGTGTGCAGATGGGACATTTTGCGTCCAGGCTGCGCTCGCCGCACGGGTGCAAGTCGCGCGTGTCTATCGGAAAACAGTTGCCACATCCGTTGCAATGGTGCTGATGGATTCCGAGCCCCTTACCCACGCGACAGATGCCACACCGGTGGGAATGGTACACCTCCTTCCCCTAGGAGTCATCAAAAAACTTGCACGCGCCACAAAAGTACCTGCCAACTTGGCAACAAGTGCCGCTCGTGCGGCGCCGTGTTTGAAACACGACGCCGCACGAGCGGCAATTGTCGGCGACGGGCTTGTCCTGGTCGCCGCAGGTGACGCAGGCGACCAGCTCTGCAGCGAGGCGGTCGATTTCGCGGTCCTCATCCTCATCGAGGCAGCGTCTGCAAGGGTAGTACTTGCCGCAGCAAGCGGCCTTGAGCCAGCAGTTGCGCGCGTAGTTTTCGCAGCACTTGGAAACGCCCTTGCCGGAGAAGCGGAGGGCGGGTGTGGTCGGGTTCGCGGCTGAGGGCGCGTTGGCGGGCCCCAGCGAAGAGATTGTGGATGCGCTCGGCCTGCTGGGACT